CTGGGAGTTTGCTCAAACGACATATGCTCGCTGCCCACTCAAGGATTACCTTTAGGGCTGCTCCCCTGCTATCGTTATTTTGTCTGGAAACTTCGGGAATCTTCAAAGTTTAAAATAGTAATACTTACCACTCCTTATACGTTAATCTGGTTACGGTATAACGATCTGTTACTTACATCTCGAGTTTAAACCCTTTTAACAGGTTGATTGATGAACGATTATAACTTTTCAACTCATTAAAAGACCAATCGACAATTTTAATTTTTTTCACATCCATATGACGCGACTTCTTTTACGCGGACTTCACATGCCTTCTAAATATTTTTTTTAATTATTATTTTGAAGTTATACGGTTTTATTAATGATGTTTGTACGAGGCAACTAAGAACTTATTCTATTGATAGTTCATGACATAAGGATTGTTTAAGGAAACTTGGAACGGTGCGCTGTGTTTAGAGTGTCGCCGGAGTAGGATAGAGTTTGCGATGCTAGTGCCAAAATCACTCAGAAAGCGGAATTGCATTGATTCAATTTAAATTTACGTCGCAGACGTACGGGCAATTTTGATTTATTGATCTTCATATGAAACTAGAACTAAACTGTACTTACATGTCACAAAATATTATAATAATTTTAGCTTACAAATAATACGGTGTTACCATACTATTCTGCTTTTGTTATAAAATATTTAAGTTTAATAATTTTAATCAGAATGTTATCATGTTATAAAGAGATTTGATGGACATTGCAAAACATTATCGTAACATTAAATCGACGTACTCAAATGACGATATATTAGTATGCAAATTTATTAGTGAGCACATAAGCCGGGCAAGAACATTACCCAGTTCAACTATAGTTTCGTAATGGCCAATTAAGACGAAATCAAAACAAATATTAAAATATTTTTTAAATTAAAATTGTGTTCAATTGAAAGAGGTGATCAACAATGTGGAAAAACATCGACAATTAAATGTCGAGTAAATAGAATAAGAATCGTAAAAATAAATATAGAAAAGTTTTTGGACAAATAACATCTATGATCTTATCATGGATTTAGTGTCCATTGCAGATCAGAATTTCACTGAATAGGTACACATATCAGTAGGTTTGAACTTACCTATAGAATATGTTCCATTTCACTGCAATCATCTCAAATGAAAATCTATCACTGTTATAAAGTGTACTAAAATAATCCTTTTTTTAAACCACACAAGGACATCAAACAAATGCAAATCGACTTCTGCTTTATTCTTTTTTTCACGTAGTTGTTGCTAGAAGCTAAAAAGCTTCTTATGTCCCCTTAATAATAACCACGTACTTGTAAATAATTAACAAAATGTTAAAGTTGATTTAGATAAAATCGTTAAAGAAAAATAATGAAACATGCTATATGTGTCCCACTGATGCTCAAAGGCCTCCTCTGTTCAACGAGCACAGACCACCATATTTTAGCAGACCACATTACTACGAAATCATTTTTACTATGCCGATAACCACGTGGAAAATCGGCACTTAAAATTGCAATTAGCGATTTCATTAGTGCCGGCATCGGGCTTTAAATTCAATATGCAATTAAACTAAAAGTGAGAGCCGAGACTTGAGCTATACATTTACGTACTATAAAATACTTACTTAGTATTTTTATTACGGTTGGTCCCAATTGGTTACACAAATACTCTGTTAGTTGAGTGGAGTCCCCGACCGCACACAATATGACGTAACTAACGTAATTAGTGCGCTTCTAAACGCCTTGTTTAGGATTTTTACGAGCAATCTTAATTAATGCATCTCCCGAAGAACACCTGAGTCCTCGTAGGGGCTTAGTTTTTAATTGTGCTATTGTTGAGCGTTGCCACATATAATGAATTCATTCTTTAATAATTTGGATACACTAATTTGCCTTTCTTAAAAATCTGAGGAAAACTATGGGAAATCATACATTTCTTACACGATGATGATAACAAACCTTTTTGCCAAACTCACTCTTAGGGTGGTTTTAGTGATTATTAACCCAGTACTAGTACCGTCTTTGTGAATCAAATGCTATAAAAACATTAAAGATCTGAAACTCACTATTATTACTACAAACAACATACCGACAAAATAACAATCCAGCCGCAAACCTCACAAACCAATAAATCAGAAACCAAATGAGACCCTAAATTTCGATTCAACTCAAACATGTCTTTGGCAATACCGCAGAACTTAATGAGTTCATCAATATTCCTTGTTAAAGACGCTATGGTCAGTCAGTTCAGTTAACCACAGCCGCACATACATGCACATTCATACATATGTTGCCAAAATATGTACATTTACCTAAATTGCTACGATTAAAGAAATCTTTTACACACTCTCCCTCGTCATGTTATATTGTAATTTTTTTAAAACATTCATACTAAATAGGTTGGCTGTGCGTATTATTACAATCCATTTCATTGCCATGTTTCTTGCGAATCCCCCACGGAGACGGCTACATTATCACACGCTGTCTACCAACATGTTGTACGTAATAACTTACCTTTATGTGCTCCACGCCTTTTCAAACTTCATCGTAAAGTAAACGAAACTTACCTATGCCTTGTGCAGTGGTTATTAAATATTTAAACAGCGGAAACCGCAAAGTAAGCCTTTTCTGCTATATTAACTTTTTCTTCGTGAACGGCTCTTAACACAGCCGGGCTTGGGAGCTAAAATACTTTCGTCCCGTTATAATTCGATCCTTTATAAGAAATTATACACCAGAAGACATTTTAAAATAAAAGCGCCATAATTTCGTAGTTTTCGCCCATATTGCGTAGTAATACGTCGTTGGTCTTGTTTGCTACAAATCATTCGAAAAAATTCGGATCGCTGCTCCTTAAAAATGTGTGTACAAGCAACATATTGACATCAGGACATAATAAGCTAACAATAGAGTTCTTGTAGTCCGTCTAGTTTGATTTCACGTACGTCAGCCGTGAAAGTGTTTTAAAAAAGATAAAATAATGTCGATCCAAAAGTAGTTTACGTACAAGCTTCTATGTTTTATGCGAAGTTTTAGCGCTTACACCGCCATCTTTTTGTGGGCACTCCATTACATGTAACATACGGTACCATGCAGCCACAGGCACTACCTACGGTAAGTACACCCGTGCGCCGCGTGAATATGTCACACGTCCCGTTACACCCCGTTCACACCACCCACTGGCCGGGGGTGACACTGAAGCTAAATTAAATAATGTATTGGTTTCGCATAGCTACTATTTTGCATTGTTTTATTTTTTTTTTATTACTATTTTGCATTTTGCACTATTGAGCGCAAGCCGAATTTTTTATTTAGACTTATTAAAGTTACGAGTATTACATTATAGCACCTGGAGGACCTAGTTTTTTTTTTTTTTGGTAAATCGTGTATTTTGGAAATAAAAAAAATAAAAAATAAAGAAAGCAAATTTTTTTTCTGAAAATGGGATAAAAGGACATTTTCCCCGATCTACGCACATAGTAAAATTTTATGAAAGTATGAATTATGTGTATAAAGAGAATTGCTCGTTTGGTGAACTAAATGCAAAAATTAAGATTCCAAATACTTGAAAGTGATGTTATGGTGAACTAAAAAATCAAGTTTATCTTTTAACTCGCACTAAAAGTTAGTTCATAATAGCAAAACGTAGTTTCGTTTCAGACGTTATTCGCATAACATAACAAACTATTTCAAAACTATTGCATTAGGCACCCGTCTATAAAGAGGATCGTCCGGCGAGGAATATTAATAGCATTGCTTGAGGTATGCTTGGATTTTACTCATTAGGGGTGTTATGCGGCTGTTTCAGAAATGATAAATGAGTAAAGGTCGGTGTAGAGAATGGGGAACTTGCGAAGCCACCGATGTTTGTTTCGCTTATGCTATGGGCATACATGGCTTGTACATAAACCTGTGCATTGTTAAACTTTCTCTTAAGCCACATAACTAAATACCTCTATGGAAAACAATAAACTTATTTTCATAAAATATGTTTTACACTTAAACAGCATAACCGATATACACAATTTATTTAAAATATTCGGTTTATTAATAATAAATTATATCCAACATTAATCATCATTCCAATAACCAATTATTGCAGTTCACGAATATCGAAGGCTACCTACACGATTACACTAATGCCCGGTTTGAAACACTGATCATCGTAGATGTCAGTCAACTAACCAGCTGTCAAATGGCTTTTCAAATGTTATTTGAGTTGCCAAAAGTATGGTTAAACTCTCAGAATTGATCTGAATGATCAATTGAAAGATTTTAACAATCATTTTGGCAACTGAAATATCATTTGAAAAGCTATTTGACAGCTGATTAGTTGACATCTGCGATCACCAATGTTTCAGAAACCACAATGCACCACCGAGGTGCACTATTGCGAAGGGGAATAGCAATTAAGTGAGGCCCTAAATTATTTACTGACAAAGTATAGTATTTTAATTAGGGCATAATAGACTAATGGTTACATGATGAAGCCATAACTCTATGCATGGTCCCCATCTTTCAAGTGAAAATAATAAAAGCTCGTTTTACAAACCTTTACTGTTCAAACTGTGAAAACAATAGAACAAAACGTTTTGCTATAATCACTAGGCATTTTCACAAAAATCACAAGACGTCGATATATTTTAATAGTCTAGTTATTTTTTATGCATATTTAACCACTCAAATCGAAGTGAAAGGCAAAACTTGCAAACTTAAAATTTTACGGTGCACACCGTAAAATTTTAAGTTTGCCAACATGCCAATCAACCTACCCACCAAATTTGTCAATCCAGCGTTAACTTTTCATGCAATTAATCTTTACAAGTACATAGTTTTTTCTACAGTACTACTAGACCTCAAAGCAAAAACCGAAGTAGTCTTGATATCAAATATATAGCAGTAACATGATACTCCGAAGAAACAATCCAGGACATAAGAAACACGCATTAAACTATTCTTTCTGCCAACAGACGTATCCGGAAGAACGCTACATGCGCCGTGAACGACCGATACCAGGTCTCTTCACATCCATCAAACTACCTGAAGCCGAACCCCCAAACGGGGTAGCGCCCCTGCTAGATTTCCCGCGGGGGCGCATGCGACCAATTACTTTCCTCGGCGAGAGCCTACACGGCAATGTAAGTACTTTCTGTGTCCTATTATAACAGCTTTGATAACTCAATGCACTTGCAATTATTATAAATAAAATTGTTGCCAATTGAAACTGTGCCCCGACTTATCACGGACTCGGCCGCAAAAAACAAGACGGGCATTAAATAGTCTGAAAAATGTGTACCTAAAAGTTCGAAATATACTAACGAATAATTATTTCATATAATTTCGCCAAAAATTTCAACCGCGCATTGAAATCGATTTACATCATCATTCATGTTTGCTATGCGATTGTTATCATTTCAAATCTTAGACAAACTTTTCAATGGGTAAGCAATGTTCATAGCTATTTCTCAATTAATTCTATATCTGTATCTGTAAGCAGTGTTACACTGAGAGACTACTGTTAACAACATTCGCTGACGTTACATCATCATTCATGTTTGCTATGCGATTGTTATCATTTCAAATCTTAGACAAACTTTTCAATGGGTAAGCAATGTTCATAGCGATTTCTCAATTAATTCTATATCTGTATCTGTAAGCAGTGTTACACTGAGAGACTACTGTTAACAACATTCGCTGACGTATCTTTGGAGTAAGTGTCATGGCTTATCAATGATGCGTGTGCATCAATGTACATGTGTACAGCACATGTGCATCATTAATAGAGCACATGTACTGCACATATGCATCAGTGATTAGAGTTATATTAAGTGTTTCACCATATATATATATATATATATATATATATATATGATTAGGGAATACAGAAACGACTACATATAATAATAGCTTTATCCTCAGAGATCACATTATTAAAAATTTGTAATTCCTTTTGTTAATTCCATTAGTAGTTTCTTATCAAAAAAATTGTTTCTTAAATTTTTCTTAGAATCTCAATTCATCCAATAAACATCTCAAAATTGTTTAATGTTTCTGTATTTTCTCGTTCTGGTTGTGTTACAGGAGTCTTCTGTAATACGTTTAAATTACTTTTGATTGATTTCGGTCTATCTTCTGGCTGATGTTTGGATTCATCTTTTATTGCATTCCTTTGTTTTTCGGCTAGATTTTGTCCTAATTTTTCAACTAACAATGGTTTCTGAGCCTCTTTAAGTGTTTCTTCACCAGTTCTAGGGACTTCATGTAGGATGATCTTAGCTGAAAGAAGTTATTTTCTTATAGATATCAAGCCACACTGTTAAGACAAACATCTTAAATTAGAATTTAATAATATCTTTAGTTTTATACGGCGAAGTATTTAATTTTTTTAATTACTAAGCAAAAATACTTGCGTCCTTTAAAATATAAAAAATTTATCGGCAATATATATAAACGGTAATGAAAATAAAGATTTATTTATGTTAAGAAGATAACTACTTTCGATGGATTCGACTTTATCCTGAGGCTGCTCTTTGGGGCTCTCTAGTGTTGATTCTTGTTCTTCTGTCACATTTTGTTGGTGTGTTTCCAAGACAATTTGTTTCTCCACCTCTTTAAGCGGTTTCTCATCAGATTGTGAAATTTCATTCTGATTGGCCTTTGCTAAAATAATGTTCACGTTCTTATAAAAATTTTCTGGGAGCATACTATCATACCTTGTAAAAAAAACCTAATTCAGATACTAGATTTGATCCATATTTCAATTATATCCCTTTTGTGCAATTTGTGGTAAAAAGGATTGCTTACTTTGCGATTGTAGAATATTTAAAATACGTATAATCTAAATAGAGCAATCAATTTATGTTTTGGTAAGTTCTCTTTTAACGTGACCTAAAAGCCCTTAGCATAATTGCCTTATTTTCCTATATCATATTTTCCTTTTATTTTTTTAGTGTGTATTTTTCAAAAATATTTTTATTTCCTAATCGATTCGGTGTTTTCCGTCTGCAGCTGGACATTAGGCTTTTGCAAAACATTTAAATCATTCTTCCTTTTTTCAAATTTGTCCCCCAGTTGCTCCTTAGATCTTTTATCTGTGAGCTGCTTACTTTGTCCCTGTGCTGTGTTGTGCTGAATATTTTCAATAGTGACATGTTTATTAGGCTCTAAAATCAGAGGATCTACAATAGGTCTTGACTCTTCTTGCTTTGGTTTTTCATTTAAATTTACAGTGGCTGTAAAATAATAAAAAGTATTTGTAAGCGCTTCTACTATTCTAAGCAAAACAACTTTAACGAATATAAAAATTGGTAATTTTTCTATTTTCTAATATTAAAAACGTATGTGCTCTTTTTAAGGCGCTTCCACGTGGATTTAGATTATAACATCTCGACTCTCAACAATGAGAAAGACAACGTTTTATGGTAAATGTAAATAACTTTAACTCCGGCGTAATTCAATTAAAATAAATTTTAAACGTTAGAGATAAATCTCTAATGAATTAATCAACAAGCAGAATTCGGCGGTCGCTTATAGTTTTCGAGAAAAAAAATATTTAAAACTTGTTTTTTGTACTAAGAAATCCACCATTTTATTTTTTTGACTTCAAAAACTCAATACACAGTTCTGCCAACATGATAAATATAGGAAGCGGGCGACATCATACACGTATCGATATTCCGATTTTATTAATTTAATGAATCACAGAACCGACACAGAGCGAATCCGACTCGGATAGATTAGGTTAGAAGGTTAAGGCGGAGCTCCCGCCTTAACCTTCGATGTTAGGTTTTTTTTTTATGACCACCAAGAAATACGAGCTGAATTGACATATTGACAACAAAAAAATGGCGGATTTCTATAGTAAAAATCACACTATTTCATTATTTATTTTTTCGAAAACTAGAAGCGACCGCCGAATTCTGCTTGTTGATAAATTCATAAGTGATTTTTCTCTATCGTTTAAAATTTATTTGATTTGAATTACGCCGGAGTTAAAGTTATTTACATTTACCCGTTTTATAAACATACAAAACTTTGTAATCGATTTGGAATAAATCATTGTTAATATTATTCAAAGCAAATTTCGTCATATATACTACATGTAAATATCAACTTTTATATTATAATCCCTCCTTACCCGTCAATGTTTGTTTTAATTCATCTTTCAGTTTTCCATCCTTCATAAGGTCGAGAATATTGTCGACAGACAGCTTCTTTTTTATTTTATCAAAAAAGTCCTCCATTGTGCAATTTTTATGAGCTAAATGAAATAAATTAAAACATTTTAATAATTTTGACTAAATTGCTAGTTTTGAAAGTTTGAAATTGAAGACAAATTTTCTCAGTCAAAATTGTTTTTAATCGCTTCCAAGCTCTAGTATTCTTCTGGCTGTCGATATATGAAAAAGTTTTTATATTTATTTAGGCCTTACTACTTTAAATTATATTTTCACTTTTTCTTTAATTTTCACAAAAAATATATATTTCATTTCGTTTCACAAATTTGTAATTGACGAAAACGTTTTACTAATTAAAAAAGTTTGATATCACAAACTACCTCAGATGCAACCTATTTGTTGTGAGTGAGAACGATGTTCACTAAAAATAATACTGCTGCTGTATGATAAAACGGCAATGCCATATCCATGCACAAACATCCAGATCAAAAGCAAAACCGAACAGGGGAAGTTTATACGAGTTGCCGCACTCCACTAATTCTCGATGTTTGTTCTTTCTTAATGAAAATACAACAATGGCACGCGCTACTGTTTGCGCTTTCCACCACGAACGGCGGGATGGTAAGCAACGGCACCTTTACTGGATAACGCTTAACTAAAAATGAGACCAGTGAAATAATAACAATCACGCACAACACGCACCGATAAGAATTGATTAATGTTACACCAACAAAATCCCTTAATCAACGTCGTTTGGTATAAACTGGTTTATCTGTTAACGCATGTAATACTTTTGCGACAAAGTGGTATTCTAAATTGAGAATCATTTACTCTTCATTTTTATTCATAATCGTAATGAGTAAGATGATTGTTAACAATATAGTTAACGTACTGGTGATAGCTGAGTGTTCGCACTACTAGCACTCACTTTCAATTTAACTATTACACAAGCAACCCGAGTTCGATCACCGGTGCCGGCACCAATGAAATTGTTAATTTTAAGTGCTGACTTATCACGTGCTTAGCGGTGATAGAATACATCGAGAAGAAACCTGTATATTTTCGAAACAATAACAAAAATAATATTTCTAAGATGAGAATTCGCAGTGGGGCCACGAGATGGACTATGCCCTAGTAATGGTACAGAGTAGGCCTTTGCCAGTTATGTCGGACTAACACCGACTCAAACCTCCACAATTTTCCACCTAGGCGCATATCGGCAGGGCCACGGGAACGCTTTCGCTCACTTCCGAGAGCATGCCAGCGCTTGCCGCTTCAGCAGCTCCCTCCCGGGGAGACGCCCTCCCGGGAAGACTCCCTTCTCCTCCAGCGCGCCTTCCTACTCGGCCCCTTTTTCACGTCCAATGAACTCCCGCGAATTCGCTGACCAGAGGCCATGGGAGAAACATGACCTAGTGCCAATAAACAACAAGCCTCCCAGCCCCCAGCGCCGGACCTGGTCTGTAACTCCGCCGCTCAACACATTTCAGCCGTGGAGGGTATAGAGAACGGTGCCCTCCAATACCAACACTCCTCTCCCACCACGGCCCCACCACCACTGCATCAGCGGTGCAGCCCCGCTGAGACGTGGAGAATAGGGAGCGCAGCCAAACGTAACACCGACACTCCTCTTCCCCTGCGACTCGTCTCCCGTAGCCAAGACAGGGAGAGTAGCTCCACCTCTACCAACCTCGACCTGTCCCCTGCACCATCCCGCACGCCACCAGAGTGGGCTCAAATAACCGACTCGGAGCGGCCCTCCGTGTGCGTTCCTCTTAGTTTCACCGTGAGTAAACAAATCACTTAAAACTGTATTAAAAATAGCGCAATTTCACAACTTCAGTCATTTGTAATTTAATGTGTTAGTGAATAGAAAACCCGTGGAGTAAACGACCATTAAATTTTATTAGAAATTATTTATTTATTTTTAAGTTAAAATATAAAAAAATTCTAAGCTTTGTGTGTGAAAGTACAGTTAAATTCTCCAAATAGGTAACGGTTTTAATTTAATATTTTTCAATGGTTTGAACTTTGTAGTTATTTACTCAAATTCTGTTATCTAAATCTATATTTTAATCTTTCACAAGGCCGTACTTGTATGCTATCGATGCTGCCTCGTGAACGAGCTCAAATCGAGTGTACGACGCGATAGCTCTCAAGTGTAAGCGAGCTAGTATTTGATATAACAAATAATATACATATTTTTTCGATCATTGAAACGACTGCAAATTATACACGTGGCGCTTTATCGAGTGTTGCATTATTTGAATAAGATATTGTCCAAAATATGAAATTTTTAACATTACCTGATGTTAGTTTAACGATTCACAATATAATATAAAATATTACTAACCGTAGATATTATTTATAACAGCCCGTAAGAACAAATTTTCAATTTTAGGATAATATAAGGTCGAAGTGAGTGAGGAAAATTTTTAGAACCTTCTCACCGCAGGGGGCTTATGTTAAGAGCTAGCATGTTTTCCCCAATACAAACGGCAACGTATGGTACAATCGTTGATAGAGCGGTAATAATTGAGATCAGTTAACAAATAATGTCTTCCGTTTTACGCTAACATGGTTTTGGGTAGTTATATCTAAATTTATTCTCTTATCTAATTGGGTTACATTTTCAGTTTTGTCTTAACAACTTCTAATATGAATTTATGTCTCAATTCCATCTTCAATTTCAGATCATGATGTTTTAAAGAGAATACTTACGCTTAATAAAAATGTTAATAGTCAGAACTGAGCAGGCAATAATACCAACGCTTACGCTTGGTGGCAATTGATCGAATTTCAGTTTAAACGGAAGGAAGGCTCATGAATTTAAAAAAATAACTGTCGCTCAGATGACCCCTCGCAACCAGTCTGTTTATTCGGGCGCAATCCTCGTGAATATTCATTCTAATAGAACGATACGATACATGGCTTTTCATTTATTTTCGCGTTAAATATAAATTAAAAGGCGTCCATCGAGGCGCGGAACAGTTTGAACCAAGCGCTTAGTTGACAAACAAATGGAATTTTTAAGTATGTTAAGTGATGGGGTTGTTACCATCGGAGGCAAATATTATCATTATCAACCACCCACTATTCAGCTCCCCTAGTATTAATTGCATGCATCGATCGTGGTCCGTGGATGGTAGATAGTAGTCTTTATTACTTTCTTACAATCCGCGTAATCCAGCATGGTAGAACAACGTCTTATGTCTTATATGACTTATATGTCCTATAATAATGTTTTAGTACCTGGAGGAAAATAAGTGTGTAAATGATCGTGATACGAACCGCGACCGTCTGTTTTGGGGCCGCCCGATTACCGACCGAGCTATTATAACATTTTTTTGCAGCGAAATTTACCGTCATCACCGAATGACATTTTCTAAAACGTTTCCGAGTTTCCAATTCTTGTATATACAAGTACTTAATACTTGTATATACAAGAATTGCTCGTTTAAAGGATAAGATATCGCGTATTTAATTCTCTGTAACTTCTTCTTCTACGGTTTCCGATCAAAGTGTTTCCGATAAAAAAATACTTTTCACAGTTTAGTACCTGTCTCGACAACTTTACGTCTTTATGCTATTTTTTGTCACCTAAAAATTCTCTAGCTCTCCCTTTGAATTGCAAAATAGAATTGGTGTCTTAGTACAGAAAATATTGATTTGTGACATCCCAGTGGATACAATGAGTTTGCCATTTTTCTTTTTCCTAAAAAAGTAGTGAAGGTATTGCTTCTCATTTCTCCTTGTTAGTGCCTAACCTAAATAAAGCACTAGCCATTTCTCTCTCTACCCCTTTGAAGTTAAGAACTGTGTAGAGATTTTATATTGTTTCTATTGTGTTTTCATTATCTGTGGATATTTACCAACTAAAGATATAAAAATGGCCAACTGAAAAATTGTGTTTCTGTAATCTATGAACCTTGGTTATTTTTCTTTCGCATTTCCATAATTTTAAACCATGCTTCGTATCTATAGAACATCCAGAAATTTATATTAAACCGACTAATAAAAATAAAGATAAACAAACTGCAACATAAATAAAAACAAATACTTGCCAACACACTGGTACATTGAATTGATTTAAATTCGAAACTAACGCTCGCTTATCGCAACATGTTTAAGAACAGTGACGACAATTCCAGCTCATGCCTAGCTTGGAAATAACGTTAGCGCGGGCATACAGCACTTTTGTGCGACGTCGGGCGACAAATTGGAGGTTTGCAAAACAAAAAGGCACCGAGAAGGATATAGAAGTTTTCTATGAACTTTTTTTAAATTTAACTTAACTTAAGTCTTTAACCAGTGCGTGCTACCAGCGATGACCTACGGTGCCGAGACGTGGTCTCTCACTATGGGCCTCATAAGGAAGCTCGCGGTCGCACAGCGCGCTATGGAAAGGGTAATGCTTGGGGTTTCTCTACGAGATCGAATCAGAAATGAGGAGATCCGTAGAAGAACTAGAGTTACCGACATAGCAGAGCGAGTCAGCAGGCTGAAGTGGCAGTGGGCAGGGCACATAGCTCGAAGAACCGATGGCCGTTGGGGCAAAAAGGTTCTCGAGTGGAGACCACGTGACGGCAAACGCAGCGTAGGAAGGCCTCCCACAAGGTGGACGGACGACCTAGCCAAGATCGCAGGGACGCGTTGGATGCAGGCCGCTAACGACCGGTCGAAGTGGAAGTCAATGGGGGAGGCCTATGTTCAGCAGTGGACGTCCTACGGCTGATATGATGATGATGATGATGAACTTAACAGAATATAAAACGTTCTAATAATTATTGGCCGAAAATTAAGGATTAAATTAACTCATCGAGAAATTACTTTACACAGACATGACTATTTTATGACATTAAAACAACATGCCTGATAAATAAAATTTCTAGAATTGACAGAGAATACGTAAAATAGTTTTATTTTCCGTAGTAGTACTACGAGTGAGGAACACGTCTGTTCTGGAAAATTTGTACGTTGAAACCTGGTTAAGTGAGACATCAAGGTACCTACAAATTTGTCTCACTTATAGAGGTATTCTAGTTAGCCAGTGTCTCAGATATCCA